AATATAAGGCAACTGCTTATCCAGAGATAAACTAACTTTATTCGTAAGGTAGAAATTCTTGTGTTTTGTTAAGCATAGTTTAAGTGTGAAAGATCTGTTCGTCATAGTGTTCCGCACAGCTCCCAAATGGTATGTATCTCCATCTATTATATACTTTGTGTAATAAAAAGAGTATTTTTGACCTACAACATTATTTGAAATTAAATAAATTTTTTACGAGTACCTCAAATACTTACATAGTTATAAGTAAAGATACATGTTATTTCAAATCACAGTAATTAAAATAAATATGTGCACACTGTCGTATTTAATAGAATTTAAATATTTGAAGTAAGTTATATATTCTAATACGATTTCTCAGTGTAAGAATATGTATTCGTAAACACACAGACAATTCAATCTTTTTCATTTTATCTTTTCTATTTAAGTTCGAATAGCAACAAATATACTCTACTTGAATTATTTACTCTATCAATTTATTTGTAAGTTTTTAAGGTATTAACTACAGTAAGGAAAGTCAACTGAATTATTGAGTGCAAAATCTTGTAAAACTTAACGAACCGTTCGTTTTTTACTACAGATTTAAAGTTAAATTTTTTGACATATTTACCACCCGTACTTTATCTACACAATTCATATATTCATATATTATACATACAGATATATATATATATCTACCAATGAACACAAAATGAAACTATGGTATGTACTTCAGTGTATTTAAATATAAATCTGGTACTAGTTAGAAACGACGTTTAATAGTTTCACTTTAAATTTACTAACTACACAGTTAAAATTTAAGTTAAAATGTTCAAAATTACTTATAAAGTTTAATTTTAATTATATTAAATAATAATTGCAATTTTAGACTCCTTTTTATATTATATATAATATATATATAGTATATTATATTATATAATCATATTATTAGAAATTAATAATAACTACTAATACTTACAAATATTAATATATAGGTTTATAGACTACAATTGTCCATTTCTTGATTATATATATAGGTCTATTCCACTCGTAGTACCTTTGGGTAACACTGTGTTTACCCAAGTGCAGTGCGTTCCACAGTGTGTACATTTTACTTGTGCAGTGTGTAAATTTTACTTGTGTTTTACTTGAGTTTTACTACGAGTAGCTTGTGGAACAGACCTATTATCTACTGATATATTGATATGTTGTCAGTTAATATTAATACTAATATTAATAAGGAACATTTCTTTTTAATTCACAATTTATTAACTCACAATATGTCAATATATCAGTAGATAATAGGTCTGTTCCACAAGCTACTCGTAGTAAAATTCAAGTAAAACACAAGTAAAATTTACACACTGCACAAGTAAAATAAAAATAATATATTAATATTATATTAATATTAATTATTATTAATTATTAATATTAATATTATATTAATATTGATTAATAATATTAATTAATATAAAAATTAATACCGTTATCCATTATATAAAAATTCATAAAAATGTTTAATACGTCAATTGATTATCAGTTGATTACTTTTTTAGAAATATGTATATTTTTTCAACGTCAGTATGAATATTAATTTATTAAAATTTATGGAATTAATTAATATTAATTTAAATTAATTTTAATAATTAATATTAATATTATATTAATATTAATTAATATTAATTAATAATATTAATTAATATAAAAATTAATACCGTTATCCATTATATAAAAATTCATTAAACTGTTTAATACGTCAATTGATTATCAGTTGATTACTTTTTTAGAAATATGTATATTTTTTCAACGTCAGTATGAATATTAATCTATTAAAATTAATGGAAATAATTAATATTAATATTAATTAATATTAATTATTAATATTAATATAATAATATTAATTAATATAAAAATTAATACCGTTATCCATTATATAAAAATTCATTAAAATGTTTAATACGTCAATTGATTATCAGTTGATTACTTTTTTAGAAATATGTATATTTTTTTAACGTCAATATGAATATTAATCTAGTAAAATTAATTGAGCATTAAAATCAACATAATTAAAATAAACGATAATAATTAAGGCATCAACATATGAAATCTCAAATGCAAGCACAAAACTTCTGTGGTAAATGTATTTCACCAACAGCAACAAAATTTATAGCATGAAAGTTTCACTTAAAAGACACTCCGGGAAAAGTTTTAATCACCTACAAACACGCCCCGAAATATTGACTTAAAGTGCAAAGAGACCAAAAGCATTTATTTTGCATATCCTGTTGCTGCTGGTTGTTTTGTATGGCAATGCCAATGTTGTTGCTGCTGGTGTTGATGTCCTTATTTCTATTGCTGTTGTTGTTGCTGTTGTTGTTGCTGCTGCTGTAGTTGGTTTTGGTTTTAAGTTTAATACTGCTGGTTCTAGTTCTGGTACTGGTGCTGGTGCTTATGTTGGTAGTAATGTAGAATTTACTTACTAAAATTCTGTGTAGCACATTTTCAGATTTCAGATTCAAATTTAATTAGGTGCTATTGAATATATAAATTTTAAAAGCAAAAAGGGTTGAAAACTTTCCAACGCATTAATTGAAAGTTTTTCAATGAAGCTTAAGCTAAGTAATTTCTAGAGGCGCACACACAGATGCGGACGCTCGCAGAGAGATACAAAAGCATATATATATATATATATATATAGATTGCAAATGCATTGGAATGAATTGTGTCTTGTTTGCTTGTCTTGTAGATTGGTTGGTATATCCTTAAATATTGTTAGATATTCCTTTTCCTCTATTGTTAAAGCATGAGTGAGCTTTAGGCTTAAGCGTAAATCTTTTGAAGTTGTTGTTTGATTGACCCACTTCGGCGCGGCATTGCGTTACAGGCTGTGTATTGTGTATTGTGAGTTCTGGGTTATGGGTTATGGGTATTTTGTTGCTCACTATTATTATTAAACAGAGTTCCGATACTCAAGTGTGCCACTAATATAACAATAATCGCAAATTGTATTTTCATGAAATTTCATTTCATTATTAATAAATAATTTTTTGCATTGAGGCAAAATGACGCGTAATTAAAATTCTTTATTAAGACGATTTTTCTTAGATACTTTTGGTTTTGTGGGTGACAAGGCAGAAACTTCAAGTGAATTGTCTACAAGAAAATGTACATACATACATATATAAAATGAGAAGAAGCTGAAATATTTGGAAACAATGGAAATTAATTTTCTCCCATTGCCAACTTATTGAGCAAAATAACAATATTCGTGCTGTGCATATTTAAGTGTGGCACGCTTTAATAATAAAGATAATTCTGACTTTTCTTTAATATTTCTTCAGAAAATATATATTTTACTTTACTGGTATTTAAATAATTTAATATTGTATAAATAATTTTCTTTCTAATTTAATAGATAAATAGTATTAAAAGTATTTTGCACTAACAATCATATAATACTAGCGACCGAAAATTATAGTTAAAACTTAAAAAATAATAAATATAATTATTATTAAATAATTACTCTATTATTTACTATTCACTGTTCAATTCACAAATAAATTATAAGTTTTACTTTTTATTTTAAAACGCAAAAATAATTATTATTTATATTTTAAAAACGAAAAACTCAAAAATAATTACATATTATTTTTTGCAGGCAAAAATAAAACTCCTAATACGCAACTTATTTTTAAACACACAAAAAAAATAGGGTCTATTTACATTATCATGAACGTAACATGAACATGAACTTGAAAACTGGTCTCCGATAGATGAGAAGGGGAAGAGAGTATGATGTTAGCTCATACACATGCAATGTTATATTTATATTTACCTTTTAATGCTGAATACTCTGAATTTCTGTGCTATACACTACTACACACAAGCATTTTACACGTTTACACAAAACAAAACAAATTTCTCTCCTCATGACAGTTCATGATAGTGTAAACTGAACTGTCAGCTCATGTTGTCGTCAAGTTCATCTCACGTTCATATAATCTGCAAACTGGGCATTTTATTTTAAAGTACTCATCCAGCATTCAGACTTATCGTCATTTATCGTTAATCGTCAAAATGAGTCACTTATTACTCGCCTTGATGATTGTTAAGCGATTTTTCTCTCAAAATCATTAATTTGCTCTTTTTGTTTTATTTTATTTTGTAATAAATTTCCATATAACGTTTTTGTTTCTTTATTCTTAAAGTGCAATTATTACTCGCCTCGACGATTGTTTGATGAATGTGTTTTCAAAGGCTCAGTTAGACGGTAGGTAACGTAAGAAGTTGATTCGAAGCGAGATGCACAAGCAACCAAACTGGCGTGTTTGATAGGAACGAAATAAACAAAAACGGTGAACTTTGTTTATTTCGTTCCTCTCAAATACGCATGTTTGCTTGGTTGTGCATTTCGCTTTGAATTAATTTCTTACGTTACTTACCGTCTAACTGAGCTTAAAGCGACTCGCGGATAAGCGGACAAGTTCACACAACGAAAGCATCGTCTGCGACTCTCAGATGCGCTCTACCGCGAATAAATTGCTCAGTACTACGATTCGCGGAAGATTCTTTCGCGATTGAAAATGTTTGCTGGATAGAGCTAAATAAAACTTTTTTGTGTATTTTATGGTTATTGTTACGATCGACCACACAGCTAAAATGTGTAATGCTGGATTCACACAAGAGTTTTGTATATATCACACAATATTTTGTACTATATTTATGGAGAGTAAAACTGCTAAAGTGCACTGATTTAACTAGCCTGAACATAATAATAATATTTTATTACTTATATTAATCATAAATTTGGAAAAATTTGTTTTTAAAATTTATATATTTATATATTTTTGTAAATAATATTGTAACTAAAAGTGATATTGTCATATTGAATGTATATATAAATCAGCTGTTTTTATTTTCTTCCTATGTTTCACCAATTTTACTGTCAAAAACATTCCAATTATAAACTTTTACTTATATGTATTTCACATCTCACTTATTCCGGTCGTTTTTTATTACTTTACTAATTTTTAGTGTAAAGGTACGCAAACCAGTACAAATTGGTGCAAATTGTAGCGCACGGGAACACTCTTCATATATGTTTGACGTTTTATGTTTGCAACAATAGAAATTTAAGCGGGAAGTGCGGTCTTCACACGTTGTTGGTATAGCGTTGGACAATATTTTTTGGGGCTTTCACTTCAATATTTCAGTCAAGCGAAAGTGGTTTTATGTTTGAGATATTCCTTTAAGTCAAATACCTGAAGTTGTGATAAAAGTTCTCTCTGCGAAAATGTCTGACACAGATTTCAATTCAGATGAGTAAGTACATAAATAATTTTGTTATTTAAGAGATCCTGCGCTTAAGATTATATATTGAACTGTTTATTGGGCACTTTTTATTGGGCAGATTGGCAAGAATTCAACTTCGTAAACATTTTATTTTTTATCAACATTTTAATATGCGAAGTTGTTAAAGGTGCCTCAATTACGAGATTTAACTTTGAATTCAGTTGTAAACTTAATTTTAAAGTGTGTTTTTAAACATTTTAATTTAATTTTTGTAATTTGCAGTATTTGATTCGAATTTCTTTATTCCAAATACAGTTTGAGCAAAAATAGTTTTCATTTGTACTTACATACAAATGCATATATGTACATAGGTCGATACGTGATGTCACATAACCTCAATAATAAATATATTTTATAGAAGCCTTTGCGTGGCCAGATTGATTGCACCAAATTATATCCATTTCATTAGAATGTTTGAAAAATAAATATAAATATATAAAGTTGTGGAATATAAATTATTTTATATATATTTATACAAGCAATTTTTTTGAAAACTATGTGCTTTTATATCGATCAAATATTTCTTGCTAAGAATACAGTGATGGATCAGCTACAATATATGCATTCAGAACTATCATAAATGTGATAATAAATTTAATAAATCGTAGCAATAATTATCCATATATTTTAATAACTTAACATTGTATTTTTATTTCATTGTGTATTTAAACGCACATCTTGGATATTGGCCATACCCATATAACAACTATAACGTTTTAATTTGCAGAAATTATTATTCTATATCATGAGATAGCCCAATACTTCCTGTCTTGTGTTCCAATGAGTTTGACAAAACTTCTGAAACCTGGTTACATATTTATATATAGAAAAACATGATACCTATTGTCAGTTTAATGTTGAATTATTGGCACAAATTTTAATTTATTACCATAAACTTATAATCTACTCATCAATTAAAATATCAAATATACTTAAACTTTCAACTTTTTTTCTAATGAAACTCATATAGTTTGTTTTGAGTCTTATAATACAATTATCAAACCAAAAACAGAATTTCATTTTCCTAATTAAACCAATGTCTATATATTATTTTTAACACTGTTTTACATTTCGTTTGATATTCTTTTCAATGTAACACAATTAAATACTTCCCAAGTAAGTAAGGTCCTGGAAACCGCAACCTACATTTTGATGTTTAATTATCGACCCTGAGTTATACTTAAAGAATGTGAGCTTATCAATAAAATCAGTCAATTAAAATCCATTTTTACAAGGAATATTATTAATATAATATATTAGTTAATATTATATATAATAATACATAATACCTATATCGCATAATATTTAAGCATTAACTAATGCTATAGGAGTGAGTGGCAAGCTTCAAAAGTCTTATAAAAAATTACTAATAATGATAGTGAATTTATTTTATGATTCTGAATCGTATTCAAGAAACGCCAAAATTTAAAAAAAATATATATATAAAAATTCATTAGAATAGTGATTGTTTAATTAAATTTAAAATGTTGAAATCTGAGGCAGCGATAAACTCACCGCTCAAATCTATAGATATACCTGACCATTGCATGAGCAGGTCGGAACTCAAAATACTCCATTTCCAAAGTGTAATTTTGTGCCAAGATTTTTTTGCAGAATTTATTATAACATATATATTTTTTACATAACACAACATTAACTACCTTTAATAGGATATAGTACGTCTTCATATGATAATGTGATTGTATTTAGGCACGCAAAATATTTCCAGTGTATGTAAAAAAGCTTGTAACAAACCCTAAAGATAATACCAGTCTGACTACATTTCTCCTCATTAATCCATAATTTTCTTTAACCTTATAATAAACGAGAACGTCTCCTTTCTTAAACATAAAATAAAATTTTAATTTCTTTAAAACTTCATGAAGTCGTGTTAGAAACATTCGAAAAATGTCATACAAATATTATTGGGCATTACCTTAATCTAAAATTTTTAAGAAGCACACAAAATTACAATTTGTTTTCGTTTTTTTTTTTTAATTCAAATATAATCTATTTTATGTTTATTTGAAGGTCATATGGAGCTGAATCTGGATCTGGATCTGGATCTGGATCTGTATCTGGTTCTAGTTCTAGTTCTTTCTTCTTTTCTAATGAAGAAGAATGTATTGCAAACAATAGTATTCCAAAATCTATATCAGAGCAAATCAAACAAGGGGCTATAAAAAAAACTATTTTATACCGCGAAGAGAACGTAGAATTTGATCGCTCTGACTGTGAAATTCCAATATTGCCTTCTATAAAGTCTTCAAAATATAAAATAGAAAAGCTGAACATTTGTTCCTGCTGTGACAACCATAATTGCACTTGTATTTTTACAGACTCTGACTTCGACTCAGAATCTGTTGACTTAGGCAATGTAGGTGAGTATAACATTGATTAAAATTTTTAACATATCGATAATAATAATATTTCTTGATTATAAGGAACCAAAGAGCAGCCTATATCAAACATAATATATCCATTTAAATCACTGCCGAAAGAAGAAAAGTATGGAATTTCTAAAGGATTTGCTGATAAAATTGCAAATAATAAAAATAAAATTATGATACTAAAGGTGGATACGGGCTTTGAAGATCACACAGACTTCAGTTGTTACGTTTGCAGCAAAACTGTCCGTCTTTGGCATGAATTAACTCCTGAAGAAATTTACGAATTATATGAAGTTGAAGGAACTACATTTATTAGTCAAAAAGTTTTTATGGACCTCAATTTTTTATTTGTCAACTGTGAACCGTGCACCGAAGATAAACCATGTTCAATTTCGGAGTGGTTAAAGTGGACAGAGGGTTGGAACTTTTACGTACGTAGCAACAAATTTCAAGCAGAGAAAAAAGTACTCGACCTACTTAAAGCATTTGCAGTAAAGTTAGGCGATCGTAGTAAGGCGGAGAATATATAATTTTAGTTTCATTAATTCTTTAATCACAATTTAAAATCATAAGTAAAACAACACAAGAAAAAAACAAAATGAATATTCATATCAGATAATATAACTACTCATAGTGTATTATATGATGTATTTATATGAATGATGACGAAGAAGACAATTACTCTGAACAAATATTTTTTTTTTATATTTAACTAATTTTAATTTGTAATTTAATTTAAGTTGTGCCCGAAATATTTGCATAATTAATTCATTTTTCATTCGTTAAAAGCTGCTTTTTAAAATATTAAAAAATTCTTTGGAATGGCACTTTAAGTAAAGAAAATTATTTATATTTTTAATTTAACATTAAAAAAGAATATATTAAATTTATACATATATTAAAAACATACTTATTATAGTGAACAGTACATATTGAAAATTGGTAAAATTCAGAATTGAATTAAAAATATGTGACGTCATTTAATATCTAATGTTTAATTAAAACGTGAAAAAGTTGTCGTCTCACTCATATCAATAAATCACTGGTGATATATGTTTATATGTACTATTACTATTTGAAAGTTACTAATAAGCATTTTAAAAGAATCTTTTGACTTTAATACTTTTAACGTTTTTATTATTTAAAATTCCGATTATTTTTTAATTATTTTATTTCTTATATAAAACAGTTTTAAATAAATTCTTTGTACTAAAAAATTTTTTAAAATTATTTTTCGCCACGTTAATTAAAATAATTTTTTATAAAATATTTTTTATTATATATACTGTACTTTATATTTCACCTCTCCTTGAAAGTCAACTATCAGGATTACGATACGTTACCCCCTTTTTTCTATCGTACAATATAGACAATAGAACAAAGAGAATGACGTATCGTAATCCCAATGATGACTCGAAAAATATATTATAATAAAAAATATTAAAAAAAACAAAATCAAAATCAAGAAAATATAAAAAAATCATAAATGCTTTATAAAAAATAAGTTTATATTTTTTATATGAATTTGAAAAATTTGATCATGAAAAATATTGTAAAAATTCAATCTTTATAGATGAGTCTGTCACAGTCTTTAACGAAAAGGATATAGGACAGACTAAAATCAATAGATGAGTTTATATGAGGTGTATATATATGATAAATGTAAAATTGTTTTTGTAAGATAATTATTAAATGCTATACTAACCTAATATAGTAATGCCCTCTATAACGCGTTAGATTGGTTCCGGGTTATAGGAAAACGCGTTATAGGAGCATTCCCGTATACCCCGTATACATATGTGCAAAGGTACGCAAAGCTAATTATGAACTGTAAAAATGCCAGCGTTATATTGGGGAATGCCCGTGTAATACGGGGCATTAAAATCGCGTAATGTGAGAACGTGTTATAAGGGTACCGCGTTATAGGGGTGTTAATTCTATACAAATATTAAAATTTGTTACTTATTAATGTTACTTAATTTTAAAGTAATTTATTTATCATATAACCTCTGATCAGAAAAATAAACTTATACTACATATATAGTGTTTTGTTGAATACACCTGATTTTATATTGTTTCTTTTCCTAACAAGATAAGATTTATTTACAACTGATGTGAACATAATGTTTGTTATTATATTATTTAAAATATTATATTAATATTTGCTTTAATAAATTAATTAAATTACAATTTTTTTTAAAATCTTGAAATAAAGTACTATTTACTAAACAAGAAAATTTTTAATTACTACAAGGAATAGATTGGCATATAGAATATAAGCCAAGTTTATTGAGTAATCGCAATCGGCCACTTTCATTTGAGTGGAAGAATGATGTCTTTGTTGTAGTTATGTGGGATAGGTAATAATTTTCATATTCTACCTTATGTGTACTTCTTATTTTTGGAAGATAAAATGCTCGCATGTGAAGTTATTACTTCATACATACATATAATGCGTAAGTAATATATATGCTGATTTTATTAACATTGATCATCTTTTCACATTGAATGAAAGATAGAAAGCAGATTCCACCAATTACTTAGGTGCGCTCGGCTCCCTTTCAAGCATTCCGGTATTATTTATCAGGTTTTTGAAATTTGTAGATTCTTGCTTGAGTATTTTATGCAAGGCCTATGGATCATTTTGAGTGGTTTAATATGTATATGATGAAAGCAGACATGCATGGATAGAGTTTCGGGATTTCAATTAGCGTTAATCATATTTTTAATAAAGTAGAAAGTATTTGAATGTGTGTTAGATTAAAAAGTTTTTCAAGAGAGAAAAATCAAGTTACTAAATAACATTTTGTTTTGCTTACATAAAAGATATTTAAGAATAAATGCATTATGGCTTAGTATGGTGTATGGCTTAGTTTTCAAGATATCGAGTTTTAAAGTTGGAGAACCATTAACTCGTAGTTTGTGTAATCAATGTACTGAGTAATATTGATAATTATCCGTTATTTTTCGTACATTTTTGAACTAAAATACTATATATATATGCACATTCTAGCGCTTACTAGCGCTTACTAGCATGTATAGTTGTTTTTTTATTTTAGTTAAATTAATGTAAAAAATTTACTAGTGTTAACTAACTAACTGCATATAACGTACCATAGTAGACAGAGTTGAGAGAGAATACTATTTAAATTTTGTGAATTCAACGTGCCTGGGATATCGGAGTCGCATCAATGGGACGACAAGCCATTTGGGATGCACTAGCAAATGTAATACTAGCCATAATTTTTTCTTTCAGAGTTGTAAAAAAAACAACATTAAGTCTGGTTGAAATAAATTGGCAACACTTTGAACATACGTTAAATGCTTGTTTTTGATATATTGATTTTGTTGTATTATGTACATATATAGTATGATATATAAAAATTGTAAACATTTAAAATTAATTAATTTAAATAAAAGAAAGCAAAATTAAATATTATTAGAAAGCATTTTAATCATATATATTTAAATTAATTAATTTATTTATGTATTTGAATTTATTGATAAGTGAAATGCTCATATGTTTTTAACGGATGAGTGGAATTAACATATTTCCAGTGAACATATTTCCACTGAATCTTCACAATAGACTGGTTTGAAAACTTGAGGCATTAGAATTTTCGCGAGTAAAGCCTAACTCTGAAGATTTCAAGAGCATTGTTGTTGCTTCATATGTTTTTTTTCGTAAGTTTGCGAGTATTTTTTTGCTACTCTGAAAGAAAAAATTACGGTTATTATTAAGCACTTTTTATTATGATAAAATAACAGTAATTCTGACAGGTGAAATAAACATATTTTATATAAAAACTAAAATAAATGGGAAGATTACTTTAACAGAGGATTACTATATTTGTTGCAAAACATTAAGCAATATTTTTTTGTTAATTTTTATTTCATTTCTAAACCTTTGAATGAGTAAAAAATCATTATGATGCAAAATTAAATAGAGATTATAGAAAAAACAGAAAATATATACATTTGAATATTTCAGAAAATAGAAATTTTAAAAATTATTAAATAAATAACATGAAAAAATTATGTATTTTTTTAATTTTGTATATTTATGTAAACATTAAGTAAGTGTGAAAAAGCAGTTCAGTTGAAAAGTGTGAATATCGCAAATGCTGGAGGTCAAAAAACCAAACTAAAATATAATATTTCATTGAAAGGACAAACAAATATTTAATAACTATTTGTCAACTTTTATTAAAAATAATTAATAAAAACACATACAATTATATATACATATATATTTATTTAGTATGTAATCAACATAACATGGTATATTTATTTAGTATGTGAATTATGGCACGCATACGTAATATATAGTATTCCCCTTCAGTTGTCAATGGTGATATATACATATATAAGTATTAATAATGAAGGAATATATTTTAATTTCATATCAAAATTTTTATAGTTTTTTATAGTGAAATGCTGGTTATAGGGGAGTGCGGTAATGTAGAGATCATGTTGACAGTTTCATTAAAATCAGCTTTTGTCATTGGCAATTTATTTGCAATACATGTTATGAGCGACAAAAGTGATGAACACTAACGACAGCGTTCATATAAAATTATACGGAGTACATTGAATTGCGTTGAAAAATGGCATTGAAATGGGAATGGGAATGATGGGAATGGGAATGATGGGACTGATGATGGGAAGAGATGATGTGGCGGTGTGGCGATGTGGGAATGATGGCGCTATATGGCGCTACCGGTGCTGAAACTGGTATTGGTACCGCTATTGGTAATTGTATTGATAATAGCATTGATATGTAACAATTACAAGTACGTTTATGTATGAGCTTGTGGTTGAACTGTCATTGAACAGGAAGAACTCTTGTGATATGTGTTTGTATCTTATTGCAACTAACTGTTCATGTCTGATTGTGCAACTGTGCAGCAGTTAAGCCCCTGTGTGTAACACTATTTGTATCACAATTGTTGCTGGTGAACTGCTTATTGGTATTGGCATTGGTTGGGACGTGTTTCATGTTGGTGTTGCTTATCGTATTAGTCATGGCATTGGTATTCGTTGAACATGCCATCAGCTACATTTATTACGATTGATTGGCATGTCAGCAATAATTCCAAATTATGTCATTTTTCATGGAGTCAATCGTGGCATGGAGACCGTATGCTTTCGAGTGGTAAATGTAAAATTTATATTTTATCTGTGAGTGACTATGTACTGACTACTAAATGCTGATAATAATCGATATATGCACAAATATGATAAAAATTTTAAAACATCTAAATTTTATCATTTTGTGGTTTGTGAACTTTCGTTTCTTCCTTTCTATTACAACGTATCAATTATGGCGAATAAATTGAAATTGAATGTTATGTTATCGAAATATACTATAAAATCAGCAAACATGCTGTTCAAGTTAAATAAATTACATATATATATATATATATATATATATATATATATCATTAAATCAAAAAACAGTTAACAGTTGGTTAAGGTGCGCTGACTCTGAGCTTCAAATTTGGCAGGACACGAGTTCGATGCCTGTTACTTGCAGTCTCAAAAAATTATTCACGCATAATTAAATATAAGAATTATTTTC